TCTCATGTCTACCTGAATATTTAAAGGATAATGGATGAACAACTATATCAAACAATTTATAACTTTCTTACAACTCTTGAATACCCTGTGGACTACTCTAATTTGAAAAAATCTCACTTACAAAAAGAAGTTAAAAATTATTTTGTTGAAAACAATATTTTATTTAAAAGAAATAAGGATAAGTCTCAACGTGTAATTAAACCTAATTAAAAACATATAATACTCTACTCTCTACATGATGAACAAGGAACATATCTAGGAATTGGTTCAACTTATAACAAAATCAAGTAATGATATTTTTGGTCTAATATGTATAATGATATCAAACAATATATCCAAACTTGTGATATATGCCAACATCGTGGACATGAAATTATTAGACAGGATCTAATCTCTATTCAAGTAAAAGCCCTATGTTATAGGATTGGGATAGATATTAAAGGACCTTTACTAATCACTAAACAAGGCAACTGATATATTATAGTTGCTATGGATTATTTAACTAAATAGCCTGAAGCTAAAGCAGTAAGTGATATTAAAGCTACTACTGTTGCTAATTTTATCTATAAGGAAATAATCTGTCAGTATAGAACATCTACAATTCTACAATCTGATTGAGGATCTAATTTTATGAGTGAAGTTATATGACACTTATGTCAAAAATTTCAAATTAAACATCATAAATCATTTGCTTACTGACCTCAAACTAATAGAATAGTTGAATGTTTTAACTGAACAATAGGTGAAGCATTAGCAAAAATAATAAGCTACAAATACAAGGAATGTGATGAAATTTTACCTTCAGTATTACTAGCTTATTGAACAAAAAAGCACTCTATTACAAAATTCACTCTATTCTCTCTAGTATATGAAAGGAAAGCTAAACTCCCTATTGAAATAATAGTTGAAACTTATTATGATAATAGTGAAACTGAAATAGCTCTAATTAAACGAATATTTGAAATTAAGGATATCCTTCTAAAACAACAACATGAAGCTCTCTATAATATACAGGAAGCTCAAATCACTCAAAAGGAAAAATATGACAAAAATATTAAAATTAACAAACTAAAAATAGGTGACAAAGTTTTAGTTGCAAAATCTCAACTTAAAAACATTTTCTTAGCAAAATTAGAGGAACAATTTATAGGACCATATATTATCCATAATATTTTACTATTAGGAGTTTATAAACTTCGAACATTTGATGATAAAAAAGTTAAGGATCCTGTACATGGGAATAAGTTAAAATTATACTTTGATCAACCAATTAGTGACCTACCTGTATCACAAATTATCATACTACAAACTAATAATAATCAGTAGATCGTATTCCTTAAATTTTTATAAATATAGCCTATACCTCTCAAAAAATTTACAAAAATCCTATATCTTAAAAACTTTATTATTCTTCTTCCTTTAAAAAAATTTTTTTTATTTTTCTAACTAATTTTCTTTAATCTTAATATTTATACTATTACATCATAAGTAATTTTTGGGATGAAATTAATGTTCTAAATATTAATGAAATTTATAATCTTTTACAAAATTTTTTAGATAATTAGGATATCTTTACAGAAAATACCAATGAAGCTTTAGATAATTTGGGAACTAATAATGAAAATATGTTCTTAAGTTTACAATATGAAACTACTCAAAATGAAGTACCTAATAAATAGCAAAATTTGAACATGGATAAAAACTTTGAAAATAGTTCTGATGAAAGCTCCTCTGATGAAAATAATGAATAATCAATAATTGATAAAATCAAAAAGGATTTACAACATGAAGTTGATAATAATACTGAATTTACCTCACTTTTTGAAGGCTACAAGAATTATAAAACCTTCAAAAATATTATCAATAAAATTGAACAACTTGGAAACTGTAAAAGTGTCAACAAGTAAAAGTTAGAAATAGCCTACTATCTTGGTGAACTAAGGACCAAAAACTAACTTAATAATAAGTTTATTCGAAAAATAAGGAATAAACTAACAGTAAAGTTTAACAAATCCTAATCTGCAAAAATTTGGAGGTATTCACTTCGAATATACAAAATTTATACAAAATTTGGTTTAGAACAACTTTACAAAGCAAAATTTATTAGTACCCAACTTATTGAAAAACTAAAACAAACTTAATTCGATCAAATTTTAGTTTAAAAATTTTATTAAAAATTTCAAAATATTTACAACAACCCTAATTGCATTCTGCAA